CAGTCACTGCCTTCTTGTGGTAAAGGACTTACAATAAACAGTGCAAGAAATCCTAAGTGACACAACAATTTTAAAAATCAAAGCTACAAATTACAACTGTATTTGTATTTTTCCAAAGTGTGTTCTGTGCAATGCTATTGGGCATTATGTTAAAGCAAAAAGAGTCAAATAAGTGTGGGGACCACTGGGAAAAACAGAGTCTAAGAGAGTCTGTACTGCAAGACTTTCGAGAAGTTTTACATTGAGAACAGACACTGACACTGTCCAAGATGGGAATATGGCATGTGCTTGCCAACGTTAGTTTGACAACATTTTGTCAGAATAACTAACAGGCTTGGATTCCAACTAACACACTTACAGGAATATTGCCCTTACCTTTTACTTGAAAGTTAGAACTAAATCTATTTTCAGTATATTTGCAGTGAAAATATTTTTTTTTTAATTATTTACAATTAGCTAGAGCAGGTTTGTACCAAATACAGAACAGTTTCAATGACCTTCTCAACATATTGACGTTTCAATACTCTTTGAAAGGAGGTTCTTCTTGCAACAAATACCACTACCTCCCATTTATAAGAAGAGCAAACAAGGCAGTAAGACCTACAAGAAAGTATTTGTAGCTTCAGACTTGGAGAATTTCACCTTGATGACTTCGAGAGACAGATGAATTAGTGCCAGAGGGTCAGGGCTTTGTTTGAAGACCTATAAATGAACAGATATGGGCATTTGTGTAACTAGGTAGGCTATCTGTGATTGTATATTTTCTTAAGTGAGAGTTGTACAGATTTCCCAAATTAAATTATACTGTGCATCTGTAAACAATCTGAGGTGACTTCTGAGCCCAGCATTGAGGAAGAGGAAGAAGACGATTAAGAGAGTTGCTCCACCTTAACAGTCATTAGAAGAAATCAGAGGCAAAAGAACAGAGCAAAAGAAATCAGAGGCACGGGGTCATACTGAACACAGGTAGTTAGGAAACACTGAACTATGCTATATATCATCCACTATCTTATGCAAGGATTTGCCCAATCAATGCATCTATAACAGGGTTGGGGAACATCTGGCCTGCTGGCTATATAAGGCCCTCAAAATCATTTGATTTGGCTCTGACAAGGCAACCGCTGTTGGGACTTGAAATTCAATGAATCTAGGAGCTTTTTCATGGCAACATAAATTTATATTAAGCAAATAATAGTAATGTAAAAGGTGAGAGACAAGTAAAGAATGTCCATTGTGGGATAGACAGGGCACATACAAGTATATGACAGGACAGACGCATATGTTTCTTGTAGGCTGCCTGTATTGTGGTGACTAAGAGGACAATCAGTGCCAGGCCAACTGGCAGTGTACACAAAGGGAAAGTGTTAACACACTGTGGCAAAGCGACAGCAATCCAGTGATGATGAGACGAGCTGTGATGCGATGAATCCTGTGACACTGATGACCTTGGTGCTGATGACTGACGACGATGTTGTCAACTTCTTTGTGGATAGATGATAACTCCACTACAATCTTTATCCACAGGCCCACGATCAACAATCCTCACTGAATCTCAGATGAAGATTAAGGAAGTTACAGAAAGACCTCGAGACAATGGTACGAATGTTGGATATGTTCCAAATCCAAGATGCATAATTAGAACAGAGATCAAAGCAAAATAATAGCATCGCTGGTGACACACACACTGGATAGTTATTAAGCTTAAGTGGTGTGACATCCTACAAAGAAAAGAAAAGTTGATGTAGAGTGTTGATCTTTCCAAGAGAAATGGATAAATGATTATTTTTTTGTTGATGTCAAAGGCAAACCTGTGTGCCTAGCTTGTGGCGATGCATTAGCAGTAATAAAAGAAAAATCTGCAAGGTTATTACAGATCGAAATATGCTTAACTCAGTGAATTGGGAGGCCAAATGTGTCTAGATACAGTCAATGCTCTTCAGAAAAGTTTGGAATCACAAGAAGTTGCTTGTACTAGGCCTCATTGTGACAGAGACGATAAGTTATGTAGTGAGTGAGCTAATCACAAAGAAGTTGAGGCCTTATGTAGAGGGAGAGCTTGTGAAAGAGTGCATGGTGGCTGCTACAGAGAAATTAGCACCAGACAGTCTCAGAAAACCATCTCAGATCAGATTACTGAATTAGCACAAACTATTGAAAAAACGTTGAAAGATTATGCAGGAGATTCCCACCCCCAACACCTTTTTTTTTTTTTTTTTTTCTGGTGGCTTGTGATAAGACAACAGACATAACAAATACTACCCGACTGGCCATTTTGGTTTGTGGGATAACTACAAAGTTTGACACACAAGAGGAACTGCTGTAACTGTAAGCCATGCAGGGCACTACAAGAGGTGAGGATTTGTTTGACTTACTTTATCAGTGAAAAAACTTGAGCAAATGTTTAAAAAGTTAAGTGCCCTTACTACAGATGGAGCTCCAGCTATGGTTGGCTTGAAAAAAGGGTTAATTGCATTTGTCGAGAAAGAACTGAATCATCTCAGTCTTGATCCAAGTGATTTAAATGTTACTGCATCATACACCAAGAAAGTCTCTGTGCACAGTCATTGTGGCTTAACAATGTGAAGTCAACAGTAGTGTAGTATATAAATTTTGTCAAAAGTAGAGAGTTTAACAGTTTAAGGAGTTACTGAATGATCTTGCCTCTGAAGTATGGTGATCTTGTTTATCACTGTGAAGTGTGGTGGCTGAGTCTCAGGGACATGCTCATGAGGTTTTATGAACTGTGGGATGAAGTCAAGCAGTCCATGGAGATGAAGGGAAAATCAGTGACGGAACTGAATGACAGCAAGTGGCTGTGTGATCCAGTGTTCATGGTGAACGTTACCAAGTACCTCTGAGAGCTGAACATCAAGCTGCAGGGCCCCAACCAGCTTTTCAGCTCCAAGTTTTCAAATGTGAAATCATTTGAAGTTAAATTAAAACTGTGGAAAATGTAACTGGAAAGTAATAGCGCAGTGTATTTCCCCACTCTGGAAGGACAAAAGCCTCCTAGGACACTTGAATGTGCTGGTGAATGTGCGAGACTAATTGAGGCATTTAATGACAGATTCAAAGATGTGAAAAGTAAACATATGGAATTGAACATCTTTGCTGTTACACCATTCAGTGTGGAACCATTGCTTGATATGCCTGATAACCTACAACACAAAATCATTCAGCTCAAAGTGATGGTGAGCTGAAAGCTAGGTATAATAACCTCCCACTGCTTGAACTCTCTAAATAAGCAATGATGAATTTCCCACTTTGAGGAGACTTGCTTTGAAATATGCATCTGTGTTTGGAACAACTTACTGCTGTGAGCAGTTCTTTTCAAAACTTACCATCACAGACTTGACTGCACTCCATACTAATAGACACAAACCTGGAAAAGCAGTTCTAAGTAGCAACATCATCAATAGCAACTGACATCACATGCCTCACCAAAGAGAAGCCATTCCAGCTATCACATTAGGGATGAGTTAATTGTTTGACCAAATATAGCAGGCTAATTTTTAAGTTGATAATTTTCTATGGCCTGTGAATGAAATTATAACTATCCAAACGGCCCTTGGCACAAAAAAAGGTACCCTTTCCTGATCTATAAGACAAGGTCTGTACCAAAACCCAGTTTAGGTACCAAAGTGGTATTAAAATAAAATGGGTCAAATTGTTCCATGTATCTCTCCTTCATAGTCTATATATTAAATGTGTAGACAATCAACTGTTGCTTTAGTTCAGTAGTTACATAATGTTTGTTTTCAATCAACCAAGAAATTCACTTTGCTCTTTAACCATATGGAAATGACATTGCACTGAGCAATAAAGAATGTAAAATATGAAAATAGGTTTTTATTGGGAAGAGGAAACGTTACAGTAAGTGTATGGCTGATGAAATGCCACATAACATAAGGAACAAATACAGGCTTAACAAAGGAAGAAGTTGGAAGTTTAGAACACGTTTCCATACACTACAATTTTCCAAGCAGTTTTAAGTAACACGTTTTCAATCTCCATTAATTATACAGACCATGAGGCCAATTGTGTTGGTTTGTGGCTATATCCCATCATCAATTAACTTTGTACCTTGTAAATCTGTCTTTTACCATGATCCCAACTCTGACGGTCCTGGTCCTGATGATCTGTTCTAAAAAGGTCCTCTCCATCCACAAGTGGGCACTTATCAAGAGGTTAATCACAAGTAGGGTTTGTTTTGTCATTATGAATTAAATTAATTCCATGTACTCTTAAATAAACTCCATGGTTTTAAAGACAGCTGTTTGAGACAAATCTGGAAGAGCTCTTCTATTTTGGGGAGTGCACATGTGTAAAGAGTTTGGAAATGGCATCTGGACACGTGCACTATTGGTAAGTCTCATGCAAGTTAACAGAGCCTATGCAGTCCTGGAGGCTATTAGGTAAAACTAAGTGCACGTGGTATAGAAATTATCCTCAGATGAACAATACTCATTTTTTTTCCTATCCCCCAACAGAAAACACCCAACAAGGACAAGTTTATCTATGTTTATTTAATCATAACAAAAACAGAACAATGAAAAAGATATCCAGAGGTGAAAATGTTCCGAGCAGAAATGACTAAATTAGAAGGAATTACCCAGGTGTCACTAACACATATTTGTACCTTACAATTTGTTATTAGCATAAGTAAAATTCAGTAACCAAGTCCCCAGTTCACTACTAAAAGTTATCAAAATATTTTCCAAAATGTTACATAAAAACTGACAACATCCATAAGTATTACATAAACACCCAATACAAATTATACAAGAAAAATAAATAAATGTATCTTGAGATAAAATACAATCATATTGGTCATGCCAGATGTCCACTCTTTTCCCTTTACATGCAATGGTAAGAATCTGGTATTTTGCATGTTACAAAATAAAGTAAGGATAATAACAAGTTGATGTAAATTTCAGCCACCAAAAAAACACTACTTCATATCTTAAATATTGCTATATAAAACATTAGGGCTCCAGTTTCACTAATCAAAACTCTATAAAGATAAAAACTGCATTTGGTTTTGATTCCTCAAATCATGGCTGAAAACTTTTAGAAAAGCATTTTAAGCTTTTTTTTCCTCACACCAACTGACCCAAAATAGATTTTAAGAAATGTTTATTTTCTGCGTATATTTACTTTTCAATTACAAATTTCTGAGCACTTTTTCTTCTTCCTCCTCATCACTGTCAGTAACATTGACTTGCTGGATGCTCGGGGGAGTTGATGTTGGGGCTGTGAAGACATTCTCCAAGGCTCCCATGTCCAATTGTGGCATGGGATTTAAATATTCTTCCCCACTGTGGCTATGACTGTTATAGTACGAGTTCCCATCCATGCTCTCACAACTCCGAGAGGCTTCGCTGTGTGTGCGTTCATCCGGGTAGTCTCTAAAAGGATAATCTCTATTTAAAGCTGAAAACATAGCTTCGTGTTTCTGGTACCTGTCTTCATAATACCCAAGGCATTCTGGCATTGAACTTGGAAAATTTCCATAGCCAAAGGGAGGCCGACTATAAGGGCATGTGCTGCAGCAGAAAGAAAGAAAGAAGCATCAGATCACACCTTGCCACAATGATGCCTTACATACAGACTAAACTGAGCATGTTAATTGCTTTTGGGGGCCTGGAAAGTTCCCAATATCCTTTCTGCAACTACTCAAGTTTTCATCTTTTGCCCATTGACCAGTCCCCAAGCAAACTAAAGTAGCAACAAAAACTTGTGACTGGGCTATTCACCAGCACTCTTATCTATGATCAGACCCAGGCTTCTTGCCTTTGGACAGACTGATAAAGGGAAACTGCTAATCTTGGCCTTTCTCTGATAATGTCTCACTGGGTTTAGAAATGCAGGCATGTGTTCTACACTAAGAATTGACACTTAGGAAGGAGTGTAACAACTGTTCTTGCTGGCATCTGAAAAGAAGCTTGTTGTTGTTACTGTTAAGTGCCATTGAGTCAATTCCGACCCATAGCAACCCTGTATAGGGTTTCCTAAAGCAGCTGGTGAACTTGAACCACCAACCTTGCAGATCAAACAGCTTTGCAGTCTGTCACATTAACTCACGGCGCCACACCAGGGCTCCCAAAAGAAGGTTAGGGGGTAAAAAGTCTAATTGGGTTGAAATCAAGCGTTCCTATATATTGCGGTGGGGGTTGCTGGGGGAAATGACAAGTTAATTTTTTAATTGGCATTCAATAAACAATTAAGTTTAAAATGTTCTTATGACCAGAAAGATTAAAGCTGATTAACCTTAAACTGTGGTTTTAAGGGTCATTTCTGAATTTTATTTTGGAGGGTAGAAACTTGATGAATTAAGAAGATTATTTTGCTGTTGTACACACTGGCAACCCCATTGCAGTCAAGTCAATTCCAACTCAGAGTGACCCTGCAGGACAGAGTGTAGCTGTCCCAGGAGGTTTCCAGGACTGCAGTCTTTATGGAAACCATCGGCCACATCTTTCTGCCTCTGAGGGACTTTTGGGTTAGCAGCAGAGTGCTTTAACCACTGCACCACCAGGGCTCCTGGTGTTTTACAAACTGATGTTTGTTTTTTAAAGCAAATCCAAATTTCTGTCAATCTAACTCATTTGTCAGTGGTTTAAATAAAGGAATTATTCTCTTTTTTGGTAGCACAAAACAGGCATCATAGAAGTACAGAAAAGTTCAACCAAGAGTTCTCTGAGCTCACGGACTCCACCTAGTGACAGATAACAGAACCATTAAAGTCAATGCTATTTCCTTACGTTTAAAAATGTAAGAATGAGCGAATACTAGACTATTAACTATGATCTCAAACTCACTGATAACATGAGGTGTGCTCAGTTCTTTGGTGTCTTACCTCCAAATATTTAAGCACTAGGTCTTTTCCCACATTAAATATCAGAAATATGAGGCAAAAATTCTAAAATTTTTCCTAGTCCCACAACCTAATTTAGGCTCTTATTACTATTATTATTATTGTAAACATAGCGATGACATACCAAGACCAAGACCCATTGCCTTGAGTCAGTTGAGACTCACAGTGACTCCAGAGGACAGAGTAGAACTACCCATAAGGTTTTCCAGGCTGTAATCAGCGGTTCAAGCTCACCAGTCACTCCTCAGAAACCCTATACAGGGTTGCTATGGGTCAGAACTGACTCGATGGCACTTAACAACAACAACTATCTTTACAGAAACAGACTGCCACATCTTTTTCCTGAGGAGCAGTTTGTAGGATTGAATTGCTGAGCTTTCAGTTGGCACACAAGCATGTAAGTATTGCATCACCAGGGCTGCTGTAGATAATGTTTGTTGTTGTTGTTAAGTGCCATCAAGTTGGTTACAACTCACAGAGACTTTGTATAGGGTTTCCAAAGAGTGGCTGGTGGCAAATCAACATTTTTCATATATATAATTCATTGAGATCAATCATGATGTACAATCATCACCAATATCCTTTGCCAAATTCAGGCATTTTAAATTTAATACATGCGTCCTGAAAATCCTTTATGCTTCCAGATCCTGTGAGTTTGTTTGCTCACAACAAAAACAACAAAAGATGTATATCACCCTTGATTTTCCCTTGTCTGTTGAATTCTCCAGATCTTTCAAAGAAGATGTTCAAATCTACCTCATTTAAAAGGCCTTCAAATCAGCTAAAAGTAATTCCCTCAGTAACTAATTTTCAGGATTGACTGTACACAAGATAGTACGCAAGGTTTGGTGAAGAATTAAAAAAAAGAAGAAGATGACCTGAAATCTAGGTATATATTATTAGCTCTTGCCATAGAGTTGGTTCAGACTCTAGCAACCCTGTGTAGGGTTTCCTAGGAGCAGCTGGTGAGTTCAAATTGCCGATCTTATGATTAGCAGTCTAGTGCTGATCCTACAGCACCACACCAGTACTCCCGGTACATACTAGACATGTGCTAAAATCTATAATACCAGCATTACATAAGAGTATGTTACAGACAAGTTAGTGTTGTATCCAGAGAACATCCTCTCCCCTGCTGCACCGTCTACCCAGCCCAGAATCTTCAGGCGGGTGGAAGTGCATCCCCAAAAGGGTCCAGTATGGCACCCACAGGGTACAACTTTCCCATGGTGCAAAGAGGAAATCCCTGAAAGCCCCAGGGGTTCCAAATGCTAATCTTCTGGCAACTTCTTATGACATGTGCCTCTGGGAAGTCCCTAAAGAGGGACTTAAGAAGCCCTAAAGTTGACTCTCCTACTTGGGCAGGAGTCTTTATTTCTGACTTACCTAACAAGAGACAGCAAGTCTGGCCATACAGCCAATCGTATTTGCACCTTTTAAAATCCCAACATAAAAGGCAAGAGCCAACACCAACTACTAGATACAAGGAAGCAATCATTTTGAGAATTACGCTGTGCATATGCAGATACCGAACTGACCTTCAGAGATAAAAATTGTGAATAATCTTTCTTCCACTCATTTCTCAATATCTATCTGCGTATCTCCATGGTGGTAACTGGGGCAGGGGAGGGGGAGTTTGAGTGAGTGGACACCCCCATCTACCACGTGAAGTTCCTACTGTGCATGCACACTGACCTGCACAGCAAAGGCTATTGGACAGTCTGCTATGGTTTTGTCTTTGCTTCTATTTTGTTTATGTTTTTGGTCTTTTGGGTCTTACTTTTTGTTCCTGGAGGTGGAAGCTTTCTGTCCCTACGTTATGCAAAAAGAGACAGCAATCTTGGCCATATAGCAAAGCTACAAGCATACCCCATAATATCCCACCATACAGAAAGGAACCAATACCAGCTCCTATGCATTATACAGATAGCAAATACTTGCTAAGATAACTTGCAGCTGAGTAATAAGAGATGTGAAAAGGGAAGCCTATCTCCAGATCACATCCACCAGGAGACACTCCGTAAGCTTAACAATACAAAAACATACATTCATTTACTCATTAAAAACACATCTAACTATTGAAAATGTTGTAGAAAAAACAACAAAAGATCTCAGCATATGTCCAAAAATATAAAAGAATAACTGAGACAAATGAGCTGGAAGCAGACATACACTTCCCATTAGAAGAACAGCAGGCTTTGGCTCTGCCTGACAAAGAATTCAGAAGAATGGTATGCAGAAAAATCCAAATGCTGCACAGAGGGGTGGAGGAAAATAAAGAAGACAGGAAAGTGCTACAGGAGCAATCAAACAAGATAGATATAGCATTGGAAATAATTCACAGCCTGCAAAAAGAGGTCCAGATGATTAATAATAAAATGTCAGAAATGGAAAATACACTGAAAGAGCAAAGGAGTAGAATTGAAAAGATGGAAGCCAGAACCAGCGAGCTGGAAGACAAATCTCTCAATACTACTAACAACAGAAGTGCAAGCAGGAAAAAGGTTAAAAAAAAATCTGAAGAGAGTCTAAGATTCATGCTGGATAATATGAAGAGGAATAACTTAAGAATTATTGGCATTCCAGAAGAGAAAGAATCACAGATGTCCACAGAGAAGATAGTTGAGGAGCTTCTGGAAGAAAATTTCCCTAACATCTTTAAGAATGAGAGGATAAGCATTCAAGAAGCTGAATAAACCCCAGGAAGGATAGACCCCAAAGAAAATCACCAAGACATATCATAATCAAGCTCTCCAAAATCAAAGACAAGAAAATAATCCTAAAAGCAGACAGGGAAAAGAGAAGTGTTACTTACAAAGGCAAGCAAATCAGATTAAGCTCTGAACTCTCAACAAAAACCATGCAGGCAAGAAGGCAATGGAAAGACATATATAAAACCCTAAAAGAAAAAACTGCCAACCAAGAAATGTGTACCCAGCAAAGCTGTCAATCAAATGTGATGGCACAATCAAAACATTCCAGGATAAACAAAAGCTAAGAGACTGTCAAAACCAACCCAGCACTTCAAAACATACTAAAGGGAATTCTTTGGACTGAAAACCAACAAGACCAGACAACAACCAGAGATTGACAGATGTGGCAACACCACCCAGAACTCAGTTGACAGATAGCAGAGTGCAGAACAGAACAAAATTACAACAAAGAATTCAAAGGAGCTGGAAGGTCAACCAAAGATCAAAATAATAACAATGTCAAAGAAGGGAAAAATATAGGAACAGAGATCCAGGTGGTGAGGAGGTCAGGTAGATTGCAGGATACAATAAACTGTCTTAAATGAAGAGAAAAGTAAGTAGATTATAGGGTAACTTCAAAAAAGTTAATACTTCACAACATACCATGAAAATAAAGACCCAAGTAGAACACGGAAACAGTAAAACTAAGAAGAAATTGACAAGAAATAGCACAAAAAACATGAATTCAGCACAAGAAAACATGCAGAATAAAGGAATAGGCAGCATCACAAAAAAACTAACATAATGACAGCAATTAATTCATACCTATCAACAATTACACTGAATGTCAATGGATTAAATGCACCAGTGAAGAGACAGAGGGTGGCAGAATGAAAACAAGTCCCTTCAATATCCTTCCTGCAAGAGACACACCTTACACACAAAGACAAAAACAGACTAATAGCTAAAGGAGGGA